CCTTCTGTCTTCTCTGCTGTGGATCCAGCTTCTTGCCTGGGCCAGTCATCTCTGGTCATTTCCTAAGTGCTGAAGCTGCCTTGCCTAACCCCAGCTACCTTCCCAACCTTTCAGATTAAAGAATACGAGAAGTTGGACAATGAGGAAGACCGGCTCTGTCGGAGTCGGCAGATTTACGACACCTATATCATGAAGGAGCTTCTCTCGTGCTCGCACGTAAGTGTCTCCTTATGGTTCTAGTCGAAGCGATGCGAAAAGCCAAGGATTTCCCACAGGGACAGAATGTTGAAGAAAAGAAAAGAAATACAGGGTTCATTCTGACATGTGCTCTGTTTCTTCACATCCTTTTGACGTCCTTCCCAAAACTTTCTCATAGTCTCACCGCAAAACTTGGTGAAAGAAAGTAGCTTACTTGTACCTGTGGAAGAGTTTAGTCTCGATGATAGACTATTTGTCAAGGAAATTGAGCTCTTGGGCTCTTTTTTTTATCTCATTAAAACCCATGAGGTGATGACGTAATAGGTTACGTGTTGGACTGCCAACTGCAAGGTCAGCAGTTTGAATCCACCAGCCAATTCCTTCCCATCAAGATTTACAGTCTCAAAAAGCCAAAAGGGCAGTTCTACTCTGTCCTAGATAGAGGGCCACCATGAGATGTTTCCTCATTAAGCTATACTTATGTGGTGAAATGAATCAGATATTCTAAAGATAAATCAGAAGTCATAGCTTGAATCAATGTGTTCATTTTATTAGTTCATCGGCCACTGGACTACTCGATGTATTATTCTTTCCCTTGTAAATCAGCTAAACTTTGAGCCATTGGGATTAATTCAGTTCCCTGGAAATGATTCTGCTGAGAGTAAGTGGATAATGAGTGATGGACATTTATCACATGGGGTCTCTACACTAAGACCATTCTCTAGAAGAGTATCAACCCCATGGTCCTGCTCTGCCCTGTCCAGCCTTGATGTTAGGCACCATCACGCTGGCTCTGACCCATAGCCACCTTGTGTGCGACAGAGCAAAACACTGTCTGGTCCTAAGGAGCATTTCCAAGACACATTGGTTTGTTCTGTCAGTCCCCTGGCCTTTCAATATCCGTTCAATACCCATGGCGATTTATGTTAAAGTCTATAACTTCATCAAGAAAAAAATAAATGGAATTAAATGTTAGTATCTTGGTTTCCTTGTGGGTCACATTTCAAGGTTGAAGTCGCCACCTGTGGTTAGTGGCCCTGTATTGGATAGTTGAGATCCAGATCCAGGTCAGAAAGTTCTGTAGGCTGCGACTGGCCTGGACAATGGATGTATCTGGATGCTTCTGTAAACCTAGAGTTCTGAGGCGGGAAAGGGTCCTTTCTGGTTGCCTGTGGGTGGGTAACACTCTAAGTTCAAAGTTATTATCTTGATTATATTGTTCATAGTCCCGCCTAGCATCTGAATCATGGTGTCTAACCGAGACAATTATTATAGCCTACAGACTTTCAATAAGGTGAAAGCATGCTCCTTTGTAAGGTGCCCTTGTGGCTCATCACTTTGTGCTTGGCTGGAAACCAAAAGGTTGGAGAGCTGAGGTCCCCCAGAGGCTCTGCGGGAGCAAGAGCTGATGCCCTCTTTCTAAAGATTACTCCACTTAGAAAACCCACCCCAGTTCTGCCCTGCCATGTGGGCTCTCCCGGAATCAAAAATCCGCTCGGTGCACACACCACCCCTCAAGACTCTTGCCACAATGTCGTTATAGTAACCTCTTGGGACTCAGGGTGTCCAACAGCTATGCCCAGGGCCATCCTCTTTCCTGATCTGTTGTATCAGGGGGCCTCTGGGACACTTGCTTGTTAAGCGCACCTGTAAAGATCCAGTGGGCTTTACTGTGATTACCGCAAGCTAAGACCCCACTGCCATGGAGTCCATCCAACTCATGGTAGCCTGTAGAACAGAGTAGAACTGCTTCTGTGGCTTTCTGAGACTGTAAACCTTTATTGGAATAGACAGCCTCATCTTTCCCCATAGGAAATGTCTGGTAGGCCCGAACCATCAACTAGGTGTCCACTGCCTAGCTCAGTACCATCAAGGCTCCTTATGATTACCATCTCACTGCCATCCACTCTGATCTGATTCATAGCCACCCTATAGGGTAGGGTAGAACTGCCCCTGTGGGTTTCCAAGACTGTAACTCTGTACAGGAGTCAGGTCTCATTTTTATTCCACAGAATGACTGGTGCTTTCGTGCAGCTGAGTATGTGGTTAGCAGCCCGAGGTGAAACCCCTACACCACCATAGATGTTGTTGCTGTTGTTAGGTGCCGTTGAGTCCATTCTGACCCATAGCAGCCCTATACACAACAGAATGAACCCCCACGTGGTCCTGCGCCATCCTCCCAAGTGTCCCTATGCCTGAGCTCCGTGGTGCGGCCACTGTGTCTGTTCATCTCCTTGAAGGTCTTCCTCTCTTTCACTGCCTCTTACCCAACATGATGTCCCTCTCCAGGGACTGGTCTCTCCTGACAATATGTCCAAAAGATGTAAGACGAAATCTTGCCATCCTTGCCTCTAAGGGGCACTCTGGATGTACTTCTTCAAACACACATCTGTGTGTCCTTTGGACAGTCCGTGGTACTTTCAATCTTCTTCCCCAGCATCATAATTCAAAAGCATTTATTCTCCCCATGGGCTGCCTTATTCAGTGTCCAACTTCCACATGCGTATGAGGCAATGGAGAATACGGTGGCTTGGGTAAGGCACACCTCAGTCCTCAAAGTAACACCCTTGCTCTCCAATACTCTAAAGAGGTCTTATGCAGCATATTTACCTAATGCAATGTGTCTTTTGGTCTCTTGCCTGCTGCTTCCATGAGCATTGGTTGTGGAGCCAAGCAATATAAAATCCTTGACAACTTCAACCTTTTCTCCATTTATCATGATGTTACCTATTGGTCTATTTGTGAGGATTTTGGTCCTCCTTACACTGAGTTATGATCCATATAATCCACTACAATCCTTGATCTTCATGATCAAGTGCTTCAATTCCTCCTCACTTTTAGCAAGCAAGGTTGTGTTATCTGCATACCACAGATTGTTAATAAGCTTTCCTCTCACCCCGATGCTACACTCTTCTTCATAAATCCAGCTTCTCTGATGATTTGCTCAGCATAAAGACTGAATAAGTTTAAAGAGAAGATTCAACCCTGATGCACACCTCTCCTAGTTTTAAACCATGCAGTATTCCCTTGCTCTGTTTGCACAGCCACCTCTTGATCCATGTTCAAGTTCTGAATGAGCATAATGAAGGATTCTGGAATTCCCATTCTTCCCAAGGTCATCCATAGTTTATTATGGTCCACATAGTCAAATGCCTTTGCATAGTCAACAAAACACAAGTCAACATCTTTCTGGTATTCTCTCCCTTGGGCCCAAAATCCATCTGACATCATCAATGGTATCCCTTGTGCTACTACGTCCTCTTCTGAACCCAGCCTGAACTTCTGGCACTTCCCTGTCAATGTGTTCCTGCAACTGTTGTTGGATGATCTTCAGCAAAATTTTACTTGCTTACGATATCAATCGTATCCTTCTATAGCCTGAGTATTCTGTTGGGCCACCTTGCTTTGGAATGGGCACAGATAGGGACCCCTTCCATTCAGTTGGCCAAGTAGTCTTCTAACTTTCCTGGCAGAGATGAGTGAGTGCTTCCAAGTGCTTCTTCAGTTTTCTGAAACATTTCCTTGGAGCCTTGTTTTTGGCTAATTCTCCATAGACAGAGTAAACATTATATTAAATTTTTGTTTCCCACAGTGGGTGATGCTGCCCCCTGGAGGGCACTGGTACAATCTCAATGGAGGGGGGGCTTATATTTTATCCCAGTTGATGGGCTAGAGTACAAACATTATTTTTAATTGGAGGGGGGGGAACACAGAATCCTTTTTTCTGAAAAGGGGTCAATAGGCCATACCAATTTGGCAAGCTCTGTGTTGAATGACCTAGGGCAGAGGTCAGCAAACTGCAGCTCTTGACCGAGCCATAATGGCTTTTTATGTACATGTGACTGATGTGAAATTGAAAGTGAAGATGAAACTCAAAGTTTCATTTGAAGGCTGTTATTCAGATCATGGTGATTTCATTTGTTTGTAAAAATGGATTTATGCCTCTTGAATAATCTTTGAATTGTGAGGAGCAAGACTGGCTCTTCTGTCTCAGAAGGTTGCTGGCCCCGATCTAGTGTGATGTTGAGTAACATACAGACGTTTGTTAAGTTTTGTTGTCTTTAAGAAAGATTTTTGCATGTGTGGAAAAAAAAAATCCATTGTTTTTGACCCTTCAAAGCCATTTTCGAAGCAAGCTGTGGAACATGTCCAAGGTCATCTCTCCCAGAAACAAGTGCCACCCACACTTTTTCAGGTAAGATGGCGTTTACAGCAAAATTGCGCTATGCCATGCGCCTCCCGCCTGGGCTGAGGGGACCCTCACGTAGGACACGTGCGTGCGTGTGTGTGTGTGTGTGTGTGTGTGTGTGTGTGTGTGTGGCAGGCACCCTGTAAAACAGCATCCTGGGAGAACTGAACCTTCTTAGTGCAGTCAGATGATGAAAAACCACCGTCAAGGCTTTCCCGAAAAGACCCTCAGAGCTTTCCCGAGTATTTCTGTAAATCGGTACAGTAAAAGGATAGAAGGAGAGCGGTTTTCCCATCTGCAGGCAGCACGTTACCATGTGGGTACCTGCGATGCGTGGTGAGTTGACAAGATTTACAGCAGGAAAAAAGCTACAGGCAGATGGCAGTGACTTCTACCCACCCATTCCTGCCGGTAGAATAGCACGAGAGCAAAGTGGTCAGCCGCCCACCAGGAGATGGGAGGCTTGAGTCCCACAGGGTTTCCATATCGATCCTTATGGGTGTTAGGAGCTGGCCAGTCCATGCTGGCATCGTGGACCCACTGACAAAGGAGAGCTGCCTCCTTGCATTTCTGAAGCTGTAATCTGTACAGGAGCAGGTGGCCAGGCTTTCTGCCCTCAGAGCCACTGGTGGCTTCTAACCCCAGCCTTTAGGCTCACCCATGAGTGCTTAACAGATGGGCCTCGGAGATCCCTTCTATAAAGTCTGTGGTACAGAGCACCTGATGGGGTAGTTCTGCCCTATCTCATGGGGCCACTCTGTGAGTTGGAAATCGATTCATCAGCACCTAATGATGACTTGATATCCTCGTGTTAGGACCATCTTTGACATGGTGTGTGCTGCCATCCAGCAGACTCTGACTCATAGTGCCCCGTCAGGACAGGGCAGAACTGCTCCAAATGGTTTCGGAGGTTGGGAGTCAGACTGCCTCATCTCCCTCCCTTGGAGAGGCTAGAAGACAAAGGAAAGCCAAAAAATCTCCGCTGTCAATGAGTCCATGCCAACCTATGGTGAACCTGCAGGACACAAGAGAGCTGCTTCTGTGCATCTCCTAGACTGTAACTCTTGATGGCAGTGGAAAGCCTCATCCCGCTCTGGAGGAATGGCTGGCGGTTTTGCACTTCTGACCTTGTAGTTAACAACCTTACGTGTAGCCAGTTTGCCACCAACAGACAGCTGGGCTTGAATTGCTAACCTTGCAGTTAGTATTAGCAACCCAACCCTCAACTCACTGCACAGACAACCTAATAGTCCAGTACATGGAGCATTGGGAACCTCCTATCTCCGGATCTGTGACTTTGACAAAGTCTACTGTCAACTAAGCATTGGGCTGGTGGTAACCACAAGCGCTGTCTAAGGTTCAATTCCATCTCCTTGGGAAAGAGATGAGCCCATCTGTTCCTGTAACTATTCACAGCCTCAAACACCTTGTATAGGGCCAGCTAGACAGCAGTGGATTTTTTTTTAATTTGAGGTTTTTCTGAAGCATCATCTATGATGCTGAAAACTAAAAAAGAAACATGTTCCAGGCAGAGATAACAGAGATCACTTAAGATCCTTGCCTTGCCTTCAAGACACTGGGCTGCCTCGTCAGTGCCTACTGGGCAGGAGATTGGAGAAGATTGTCCTTGTTCCCATGTGGTTTGCACAGATAAGCCAGGAAACGCAGCCCTAAGCCTGGCTTAGCCACCACCTTGTCTGGAATCTTTGAGCAAGTGCTGCCTGCCACACCCTCTCCTCTTAGATGGAGAGCCATTGGCAAATTAAGCCAGCCCCACCGCTGTCCTCAGGGACCATGCCATTGATGCTAGAAGACCATTAAGGAAAGCTCTGGTGACTGGTCCTCCATCCATGCTAGTTGTAACAAATGGCAGGAAGGAAAGCACCAGATGGCCTGGGAATGTATCATTGGCTACCACCTCTTGCCTAAGCCTCCTGTTGGTTTCTTCTTTGTCAAATGTATGTGTTCCTGTTTATATGAATGGAATTTCTCCCCTGTCCCCTTTCTAGCCATATATAGAAGAAATCTGTGAAAGTCTTCGAGGCAACATTTTTCAAAAATTTATGGAAAGGTAGGAAATTTTCTATGTAAACTCTTAATCCTGTGTAGCTACATAGACCTCATTTTCCTCATTACTGTCATCCTTGAACTGTGTGTTGACTTACGCATTCAGCAAGGCTTTAATTTCCCTCTGCTATCTGCCAGGCTCTGTGCCAGCCAGTTCCCTCAATATTTTACATCATCATTTAGGGCATGCCTGTTTTATTGTCTTTTCAACATTTTGTCCAGAGGGATCTCTAAACGTTATCGAAAGGGACCTCTCTATTAAAGGACCTATTGGGAATCCTTCTGGAACAAACATATGACCATAATTCATCAGATCCATTGTTTGGGGAGTTTCAATTCCTATACCCCAAGTAAGACAAGTCTGAACGACATTATTTACCTCCAAAATCAAATATTGCCATTGAGTCAATGCTGACTCATAGTAACCCTCCCCCCGACCACCGGCTGGTGGTTTTGAACTGCCACTCATTGGTATTGCAGCCGTGTGAGTAACTTCTAAGCCACCAGAGCAATAGCATTATGGGCTTTGGCAAAGGCATGAGGGAGCTTCAAGAAGTTCAGGGGGAAATTGTCTCGAAAGATAACCGATTTTTCCCAGGGACACTTGGACATCCCCGTGGATATTGTGATTGTGGCTAGTTGATCTGCTCCTTGGGGTCACTCTCAGGAGAGAGTGTGTCTCTCGTATCAGATCCTGACATCCCCGTGATGCGAGTGCCCTGCCCATAAGCTTCCCCGGGGCCTGACGGTTGGCAAAAGTCATCAGTCTTCTGAGAGCTCCCTCTGAGGTAAACACATGACTGGAATTGGACCACCTGCAACGGAGTCTGTGTTCCTGTCGCCTGTCCTTTCCTCCACTACCTTAGCTGATTTCCAGACAAACAGAATGATTGGGTTTCCCCCACTGTTGCCAAGCAGCATGCAGCTGCTCCCACCCTGCCCTTTGACGTTCCAATGGCTTCTCTAGCCCACATCTTCACAGAACCAATGTCATTAGAAAGAAAGAAAAGAAAGGAGAGTTTTGTGGTGATTCGACTCTTGCTCAAGCGATGGTTTTATCCTGGTCAAGAGTTGGTACTTTGAGAAACTGATTATTCACAGGACTGATGACGCTTTCCTGTGTAGTAGCAGAAACTTGCTCCACTCCCACCCCCTCCCCAAAGCAGCTGGCTCAGAGCCACAGGGCCAGGTGGCTGGGTTGGAGCGAGATGCAGCTGAGGCAGCGGCATCAGTAATGTAGGACCAATCTTGCCTTGCCCATATCTTTAGTCAGCCTAGTTCTGATACGAGAGCCCTGTGGGCCTAGAGGTCACTCACTGGTCTGTGATCCACCTGGTCAGCAGTTCGAAAACATCAGCCACTCTGCAGGAGAAAGACAGGGCTTTCTACTCTCATGAAGAGTTACAGTCTCAGGAACCCACAGAGGCACTTCTACCCTGTCCTACAGGGTCACTATGAGTCAGGATTGACTTCATGGCAATAAGAGAGTTTTGATGTGATCCCTGTGAAGGTGTCCCTGGGTTGGCAAGAGAGTTGATATGCTTGGCTGTTACCTGGAAGACTGGCGGTTCAAGTGAGCGCACAGGTACCTTGGAAGAAAGGCCTGGTACTTTTGTCATGAAGTGTTAGCACATTGAGAACCTGGAGCTGCCCAGTTCCTCTGTGTCCTGTGGGGTCACTGTGAGTCAGAATCTACTCAGAGGCCACTACCGACACACCCCGTGTCACTACTGAAGCACTTGAAATGCGTCCAGCCTGCATCTCATTGTTTGCAACCTACACAAAAATAGACATTCTTAACTTTTAATTGATCTTTTCTATCCCCTGCATTTCATATGAGTATTAGCACTTAAAAAATGATGGTTTATTGGGACATAATCCAAATATCGTACAATTCCATAGTCAATCATATCACAGAAAATATTGAAAAAAGTAGACATTCTTGTGAACTCAAGCATGGTAGCCTGCCTCATCCCTAGTCTTAGGTCGATGGTCTGCGTACACCATCACTTTTTGATGGCTTGGGTTACATAAGGGACCAAACTGAGATGACCCTCATGGCTCATGCTGCTGTTCTGTGAGGCAGGTGGAACGTATGGCCCTACCAGGTGACAATCAGAGGGGCACCCTTGTGGGTGAGCCACAAGGGAAGCTACCGTACAGGTGGGCTGTTTTTTGAGAGAAGACAAGCAGCCCACCCCAGACTAAGCAAAACCAAACAGCTCTTCAAACAAGACAAGTCTGGAATCCTACTTTGTGCTAGAGCACTGCTCTGCTCTGCTCTACCACCCCGGTGGCTGCCGTCACTCAACAAATAACTATTTGTTTCCTTTTTTAGTGACAAGTTCACTAGATTCTGTCAGTGGAAAAATGTAGAGCTAAATATCCATGTAAGTAGCCTCTTCCTCCCTTCCATTTCCTTCCTTCTTTTTTTTCCCTCCCTCCTTCTCTCCCGCCCTCCCTTTCTTCCCAGCCCCTCTATTTTTTTTTTTTAAATAAAAAGACTCTCTGGCTTACTCTTGTGAGAAAATAGTTTACTTTGGTGAGTGGTCCCTGACGTAGTTCAGATAGTCTTCTGAGCGCCATAGGCTTTACATCTTATGAACCATGTGACTTCCCATTGTCATGGTCATGACCCTTGTCATGGTCACATAGGAATGTACTGGTCGAGGTGACAAAGCTCCCTTTAAGCCGCACTTGGCCTCTAACAGGCACAGCAGTACAAATGCATCTCCTGTCTAGTTAATTTCTGTAGCTGTCATATCCTCCTCATGTGTACAGCTAGCCCTGAGGGCATCAGGGAGGGACTGACTCTTGGCACGGAGGTAACAGGGTACACAGCTTTATAGGGGCATGCTCCCCCACAGCCTCCTGGCACCAGCATGCAATGGGGCTGAGAAAATAATCAATTAAACGTTTCTAAAAATGTTGCCCTTGAATGCTGCCATTGTTGGGAGACTTCTTACCTCCTTCCCCATGATGTTTCCTGGTGGGATTTGGAAGGCACAAAAGGCCACGATTCAAAGAGATCTTTGGATCTCTTTGGTTTTTTTCTCGGGCAAATGCATGAGGCTGCGTGTCCTGACCGACCCCAGGAATCAGCATAAAGCCTGTGTGCCCAGGGCTCACCACCTGGCTGTGGCCCTGACACCTCCCCCAGGCCTGTGTGTGGGGTGAGGAGAGCACTCCTGGAGACTCTGACCCTTAGTTCACTGGGAAGTGGAAACAGATGGACATTTGCTGCCTTGTCAGGATCACTGTCTGTCTGTGACTGGCGGCACTGGGCGGGATTGTGCTTGAGAATGAAGCCTTCACTCACTTCTACTCCTGCTTTGTGCCCACATGGCCAGTTGTCACAGGTGGAGAGTTCAGTCTGCCCAGATGTCTGAGCACGTGACCCACTCCTGGCAAACAGGAACTCGGTGGTTCTACCATGGCAGTGCCTGAACCTTCTCAGTCGTCAATTCTGCACTCACTGGCAGGAGAAGCCCTCTCTCCCAGCTCCCACTAGGCCTTTTCTCATTTGCTTCCATGGGGCCCCCTTTTACTTCAGAGCTAGAGCAGAAGAAGCTACTAGAAGGTTCCATCCCCCTTGTGCATCCCGTCTTTCAACCGGAGTCATGACTCCTAAAGGCGTCCTGATGGCAACGAAGGGGAAGTGCTCGGCTGTGAACCAGAGGGCTGGCAGTTCGAACTCAGCAATGGTGCTGCAGGAGCAAGATGTAGCAGAGTCTGATCAAGCAAGGATTCATGGGAAGGATAGATGGTACCTCAAAGTTAGGTGTTAGATCCTAAGTTAAGAACTAAGAGCTGCTATTTTATATAAGCTGTCTGTGTGGCATGGAAAGAAGCAAGCAGCGGTTCTTCTCAGAATGTGGCTTTCCTGCTGTTTCACCTACTCCTCTTGCACTTCAACTTCACAGCTGACCATGAATGATTTCAGCGTGCACAGGATTATTGGACGTGGAGGATTTGGCGAAGTGTATGGTTGCAGGAAAGCAGACACTGGAAAAATGTAAGCTTCTGACGTGATGTATGTGGGCGTGGATAGCTCTGGTGGCGTAGTGGTAACAAGTGGGCTGCTAAGCACACAGTGGGCATTTCGAAACTACCAGCTGCTCCATGGGATGGGGCTTTCTACTCCCATAAACAGTTACCGTCTTGGAATCTCACAGGGCAGTTGTAGCCTGTCCTAAGGGGTTGCTATGAGTCAGAATGAACTCAATGGCAGTGAGTTTGAGATTTTTTTGGTTTTAGCACTTGCGCGTGTGTGTGTGTGTGTGTGTGTGTGTGTGTGTGTGTATTTTGCTTGCCCAGAAATAATAAGAGGATTTTTTTGTTTGCATCCAAAGGATATCCCTACACAGAAGTGTGGTGGCTGGTGATTCAAAGGGATTCATTTTTCTCAGCCAGAAATTACAAAATCCCAAACCTACTGCCGCCAAATTGATTGTACTCACTGCGACCCCATGTAGCATGGCTGAGACTGTCGATCCTTATGCAAGCAGCCAACTTCGTCTTCCTTTCTTGGAGCAGGCCGTGGGTGTGAACTGCCAACCATGTGGTTAGCGCCCACAACTAGCGCACAATGCCACATAGGGGACTATGTCTTCTTCAGGAAGTCCCTGGGTGGCACCGAGAGTTAAGCGCTGGAGCCATTAATCAAAAGATGGGCAGTTGGAACCCACCAAAAGGAACCTGGGAAGAAAGGCCTGGTAATCTATTCCCTCCAAATATCCTAGCCCCAGACCACCCCATGGAGCAGAGTCCTACTCTGGCATGCCGGGGAGGGGTGGGACGCAGGGTGGGGGGGCTCTGTTGGAACCACCTGGATGGCAGCTGCTGCCCGATTGTACGTCTGGCTGGTGAGCGAAAACAGTGGGCTGGCATCTGTGCCTCCGAGATGGAACCAGTAGCGTAACCGTGTGCAGCAGGCCCAGCTCAGTGTAACTTGTCGCACAGCTTCTGCGCCAGCCCGTCTGGTCCCTGACTCATTGGCCCAGTCTCCACTGAAGAGGGAGAGATCCATAGCTACACCTTTGATGGCCACTCGCAAGCTTTAAGGGCCCAGGCCTTCCTGGCTAGAATTGGAGAACACCGTCCAGAACACTGTCTTTGTGGACTGTGTTTATCGTCCACAACTATGGTCCGGATTCCCCAGGCCCCCGCCCCTCATTCCCTCAAAGTGTTTGCCTGTGGGTAAGAAGTTTTCATAACTTTTCCCCTGTGAGTTCGACTAAAGATCCCTGGTGGAGTAGGGGTCATTGTTGCGCTGCGATCCACAAGGTCGGCAGTTTGAAATGACCAACCGCTCCTCCGCAGAAAGATAGGGCTTTCTACTCCCAAAGAGAGTCACTGCCGTGGAAGCCCACAGGGGCAGTTCTGCCCTGTCCTATGGGGTCACTGTGAGTCGTGATGGCAGTACATTTGGAATGTAAAATTTGGAAGTTCTATATTCATGGACAAATTTCAGTATTTGTAAATACATTTGTAGAAATACTTCCGTCGAGCCTATATATATTTGTGGGTATAGTCCCCTGGTGATATGTAGTAGGTTACAAGTTGGTCTGCTTACCACAAGGTCAGCAGTTCAAAACCACCTGCTGCTCCAAGGGAGAAAGATGAGGCTTTCTGCTCCCATAAAGATTTACATCCATGGGAACCTATAAAGGGTCACTATCGGTTGCAATAGTCCCAGTGGTAGTGATTTTGCTGCCCCCTCCTGCCCGCTGCCTTGGATTAGCCTTATTCTCCTTCCCACCTTGTTCAGCTTGAGCGGATCGCTCATAGACGCATAGAGGGCTATAATTGAGTCATATGGCAGGATTGTTGTGTAGTAGTGGTTACTTCTGTTGCCTTGAACTCAGCTTCTTGTCCCTGGTGCTCCCTTTGCACTGGCCATTAAGTGCTGATCTCACCTTTCCTGTCCTTCCCTTCCCCCAAGCGAACATGTCCCTACCTTCTACTTAGTAACTGACCTTCCCTCCTCTTTCCCTACCCTCGTAACTGCCAAAGAATGCTCCCTAGCCCCTACCCTTGATTTTAAAAAATCTGTGATTTTTACAATGAATTTCCACATAACTTGTCTCAGTTTTTCTAATAGGAATTTGTCCCAAGTTTTCCATCATCTCAAGTTGTTAACTGCTTTCCCTCGAGTAACTTGTTGAGCTGCTCACCATAAGGTCAGCAGTTCTCAACCACCAGCTGCTATGAGGGAGAAAGACGAGGCTTTCTGCTCTAGTGCAGAGTTATAGCCTCAGACACCCACAGGGGCAAGTCCACCCTGTCATAGGGGGTCACTGTGAGAGTTGGAATTGACTCGATGGTAGTGCATTTGGCTTGGGTTAATAATATAAAAATCTTACATAACCATTTTATCACCTGAGATAATGAACAAGATTCAAGCCAAATCAGTGAAAGAGCACTTAGGAATGGGCCTTTTTTGGAAAGCCTGGTTCCTCTCTCGTCTTAATTGACAATCACTCTTTAGAATCTTCCATGATACACACTTTATACAAATGGAACCCCTGCTGAATCCTTTAGTCTCTGCATGGCACCAATGGTTCACATGCTGGCCACTCCCCAAAAGCTTGGGAGTTCGAGTCCACCCAGAGATGCAATGAGAGCAGGGCCTTTGATCAACTTCACAAAGAAAACCAGCATTGAACACCCTGGGTGGCCCCATCTTACTTGGACACCCTGGAATTTGAATAGACGCAGTGGCAACTGGAATTCTTTTTACCTGTTAAATAGTATCCCTCCACACATGTACACACACGTACAATAGCATTAAACTCAAGCTCCCAGTCATGGGGTCAATTAAAACTCATAGCCACCCTTTAGGACAAGGTAGAGCTGCTCCTGTGAATTTCCTAGACGATAACTCTTTACAGAGTGGAAGGCTGGGTCTTTCTCCTGAGGCAATAGCATTAGGCAAAAGCAATGTATGTAAATGTTACTTCGCTGAATTTATTCTCTCTCCACATGGGTGCTCTCTCTCCCTGGGATGTCTCATTAAATAATGATAAAAAGATCTTAGCATTGCTTGGGGCCCTGGAGGCATAGTGAGTTACTCTTTGGGCTGCTTACCTCAAGGTCAGCAGTTCAAAACCACCAGCTGCTCTGCTGAAGAAAGATAAGGCTTTCAACTGCCCTAAAGAGTAACAGTCTCTGAAACCCAGAGAGGTGGTTCTCCTTTGTCCTCTCGGGTGGCAAGGAGGCAGAATCAGGTCCATACCAGCGAATTCTGATTTGTTTCATTTTAGAGCATTGCTTGACACACTCTTGGTGCCCTTTGCTTCTCCTTCACATTGTGTCAATCTTCAGGAAGCTTCCCCAGGATGATGTGTGGTATGGACACCCTAAAAGAGCAAACGAAAACAGAAACATGCCAGACCTGGAAGAACAAGGCCGTCCACTGCACTCCTTCTCTCACAGGTCTGGCCAGACTTGCAGTGTAGACTGTTCAATACGATTTATGTTTCTAGGTACGCGATGAAGTGCTTGGATAAGAAAAGGATCAAGATGAAGCAAGGAGAAACGTTAGCCTTAAATGAAAGGATTATGCTGTCTCTTGTCAGTACAGGGGTAAGCATTTCATTTCCAGCATTGGCCCTTTACATTGTCCACCTGTTGGCTGGTCCATCCCACTATCAGGTTGAGAAGCAAATCTTTGCTTTGCTTCATCATTCTTGCAAGGTAGCTTTGCGTTCTGACTTCGTCTTCTGCTTCCAGCATCACCCAGGATCAAAGCCCGGGTTTACATGTGGATGGACACATGCAATGGCCTTTATTTATTTTTGTAATCGATCATTTTATTGGGGCCTCTTACAGCTCTTATGACAACCCATACATCAACTGTATCAAGCATATTTGTACATATGTTGCCATCATCATTTTCAAAACATTTTCTTTCTACTAGGGCCCTTGGTATCAACTCCTCTTTTTGCCCTCTTCCCTTACCCCCCACCCTCATGACCCCTTGATAAATTATATATTATTTTTCTTTTCATTTCATCCAGCAAAACCTGCCCACCCAGACACCCCTTTGCATGCCTGTGTCCATGGACCCAATGGTGTTCCATAGTGTTTCAGAAGCAGGTGGAAGGAAAGGCGTAGGATGCATGTAGTGTGGCCTCGACCCGGCTGTGTAACTCATACCTGGATCCAGTGTCCATCACCCAGCCAGGAAGGGATATGAGCAATGAGGCATAGGACCAGGCTAAGCCAAACCCACTGCCATCAAGTAGCAACCTTACAGGATGGAGAAGAATTGCTACTTGGGGTTTCTGAGGCTGTAAATCTCCAAGGGGGCAGATTGCCCCTTCTTCCTCCTGTGGACATGGTGGTGGGCTCGAACTGCCAACCGTGAGGTTAGCAGACCAATGTTTAACCCCCTCCCCCTCCAGGACTCATCTGCATATCAGCGTTGTGCTCAAAAGTACGCTCCGAGAATTGAATTGTCACGGTGAACCAAAAAACCACGCCATCACCGATTAATGTGAGGAATCAGACACCCAGGGAGTTACTCCGCCACATCCTTGGACCTGTAGTCACTGCTCTTTCTTATCATCATTGTGCAGGCAGCACCTGTATCAGGTGTAGTTCGAGAGCGCTGGTGGCCCAGTGTGGTAAGCATGGGGCTGCTAACTGTAAGGTCAGCATTTCGAACCCACCTGCTGCTCTGCAGGAGAAAGAATAACAGCATTGGGAATCGATCACTGTGCAGCAGCTTTCCTCTGTCCTCTAGGGTTGTGATAGATCAGAACCGACGTGACCACTGTGGGTTTGGGGTTATGTTGGGTCATGTTTATGTCCTGACGTAGCGGTTACGTATTGGGCTGCTAACCACAAGGTCAGCAGTTTGAAACCACTGGCTGCTCTGAGGGAGGAAGAAGAAGTTTTCAATTCTGTAAATACTCAGTCTCAAGAAACCCACAGGGCAGTCAGAATCCACTCAATGGCAGTGAGTTTATTTCAGATTGGATTGGGCTACTACTTTGAACTAACGTAAAGGTCTATATTTTTAATTCAAACAGTAAGGCAGTGGTAGGTTTTGTTTTGTTTTTTAGTTAAGAAATACCTACTTTAACAAGAAGACTTCAATAATGTTACTTACAGTTGTCTTTGCTTTTTGCTAACCCAACGCTACTTTTCCCATTTTGTTAGTAATCTATAGCGTCTCGTTTCAGCATTAAATCAATGTTGCCCCGAGGGAGAGACCACAGTGATTTTTGGTGGAGGGCTTTTGGATTGAATATCGAGTCCGAGATTGAATGCTTCCTTCTGTCTGACCCTCCAGAGGGACCACAGTACTGTGGTAATTCACTCTGTCATTCTTAGCCCATACCCTAAAGGGACATAGGCGGGTCTGAGAGCCAGGATGCGGGTCTCCCAGGCTGGATATAACAATCCACAAAGTCAGTCATCTTGGGCGCCTCCAAGGAATGAGTCATCCATGCTCCTGACTGTATCCGAGTGTCTAGATCAGGGATGGGGAATGCCCAGCCCTCGGGCCATGGAAGACCCACAAAATCATCAATTCCAGCTAACATCACAGGAGGGGTTGGGTTCATTAAACGTTGGACCAGTGTGCCCGAAGATTGATGTTCTGAATAACCAAAAGATCGGCGGGGGAAAAAAATCCCCCATCTCTGGTCTAGATGACTCCAGCTTCTTTGCTGATTTTTGTGGGATGCCGTCCTGCTGGTGCCAACTCATGATTGTAGCCTCTTTGGCTACATTTGAAGGACACTGCTCTGAACCTTCTGGTATAGGTCTCCTGGTGCATCTAAGCACATGTACCTCAGAGTGGAATTGCTGGGTGATGTTTGGTTTCGAGAGCACCAGCCAACAACTTAGATCAAATGGCTGTACCATCTCACATTCTTCTCCGTCTATAAGTGGTTCAGTGTGTTAAGCATTGGGCTGGTAACCTCAAGGTCAACAGTTCCAACCCACCAGCTGCTCTGCTGGAGAACGATGTCGCCATCTGCATTTGTAAACATGGACAGTCTTGGACACCCTAGGGAGCATTCCTACTCTGTTCTCTGGGGTCCCTAGGAGTCAGAATCCACTGGACAGCTGCGATCTCAGCCATATAGGAGAGTCCCAGTGACCCCCAGTTCCAGGCTTGGAACTACCAGTCTCTCCAGTTTATGTTGCTCCTTTGGGTTTGGTGACAGCTCAGGTGATTGTGATTTGTCTTTCACTGGTAACGGCTAAGGCTGAGAATCTGCTCACTGATTTATGGGCGAGGGGGTGGCCTTCTTTATCAAATGCCGATTTACATGGTATTGACTTTCTGTCCTTTTTCTGCTGGCTTGTTAGCCCTTTTCTTTATTGATTTCTATGAGTTCTTTATGTATTTTAGATCTTTCTGTTCTATAGCATCTACATATCTCATTCTATTCCGTGGCATAGTGGAACCCTGGTGATGCAGTGACTTACGCATTGGGCAGTGGGTTGGTTGGTTCTTAGTATCTGGTACTATAAAAATTCTCGCATTTTTTTTCCCTTAAGAATATCATAAACCCATCAAAAGAGAAGCAAGATAATAGAAAGACTTTCCTTTAGAATCTTAAGTCTTTTGAAGAGGATGTAATTAGAAGATGGCCATGACTGTGTGAGAGGGGACTCTTACTTAACATGAGTGTTGTGTCTCTGAGCATTTTGTTAGGTGACAAGATCCATATTCCTACAATCGTCCCATTGCGCCCGTAGGTGTCTGTGCTCAGGAAACACGGCAGTGGGCAGATAAAAATCCACAGCACAGAGCCGGATAATAGGTGTGCTTTCTCGAATGGCTTTGGCCCCTCTTAGCAAACTTTTGTTTCTTGTCTCTAGGATTGTCCTTTCATTGTCTGTATGACGTATGCCTTCCACACGCCAGATAAACTCTGCTTCATTCTGGATCTGATGAATGGTAAGTCAACTTAGAATGTCTGAATGCATGGTTAGAGTCTGCCTTGATGTGACAGCTTAGCATGCGCGAATTTAGGCATTAGCTTTCAGATAATTGTGTACCCCTTTGGTTACATTTACCCTCCAATTTCCAGTTAGAAATTATCTTAAAATGTTAAATGTGATTAGCCTCCGGTTCTCCTCATCTCCTCCCAGGGTTGGGGGAGATTTAATGCATTTTCCATTAAAAAAATATTCATGGAATACTTATAGTGAAAGTTGATTTTTTGGAATGTAGCTGACCAAGATATTGACTTAGCTTACTTCTTGGCCCTCAACATACAGGAATGAAAGGCCTCATGAACACGGTAAACAAAAGATAGAAATGCACTGAAATGCCAGCCTTGAAAACTGGCTATGGATCCATATAGATGTTAACCCAATTTCCTGTACCTTATAATCTTGCAGTCCACAGCATTGATCTAAGAACCATGACCCTGGGCATGCTGGGAAATTGCCATCTAGAAAAGCCATTTCCTATGACTAGACCATGGCCTGACAAATCTTCGTACTATTTTTATTGGTGTGCACGGGGACACTAAAAAGGCATGCAGTTGAACAAATTCTTCTTCAATTTTTCTTTTTGTTGTTGTATTTTGAGTATTGTTTATAATTCAAGTGTTTAGCTCAAAACTGGATCTGTCCAACAACACGGAGGAGTTTCACAGACTTGATGTTGAACCAAAGGCTCTGTACCCAGATGCAGTTATTCCATATGATCTTATTTATATGAATAGGCCGACCTGACAGATCGTGAGCCAAGTCACAACAGTAACTACCCGAGTCCGAGGGGACATGGACGAGCTTCTGACAGGGAAGGGCATGGGGGATGCTGTAAGCCTTTTACATCCGGAGCCGGTGGGCATACGCAGGAGCATCTCCATAAGGAGAAGGAATCTTGCGTAATCTTTTAGCAGGACAGTCCCAATTTTTGGCATTTTAAAAGTCCTCATTTTTGGAAAGAATGCACAACAAGCTAGGGGACGGTGTATTTGGTCCATATAGACCAAATTTTTAATCAAGAACACCCCCCACCCCCAGGTCAGTGGTGTCCTGCTTTAAATCTGGTGGCCTGAGTCTTGTGGGGCGGAGTGGGTAAGTACTCAGCGAAGTGATTTGAATCCACCAAACCCTCTGCGGGAGAAAGAGGAGGCATTAGTGTCTGTAAAGATTTCAACCTGTGAAATCCTTTGGGAAAGTTCTACCCTGTTCTATAGGGTCACTATGAGCTGGAATTGACTCAGTGGCTGCAAGTTGTATGCATATATGAAGGGGCCTTAGAAAGTTTGTGGGAAAAAATGGAAATGAAAGATAGTGGAATTTTTCTATGAACATCTTGCAGCCCTTTATATGTATATGAGCGTGTATAATATGCATGCAAGTAAGTAAAAAAGTACTGCTATAAATACTTTTATTAATCCTTTATTAAGCAAAAATATCAAACGCTGAGGCTATTATTTCTGGATAAAGTCTCCATCTAGGTCCATATGCTTATGAAGGAAATGCTTGCATCTCTCTAGCCCTTCCCCAAAGAATTCTGCGCTCTTCCGTTGACACCACCTGAAAACAGCTGGTTCGAGACCCCAAGATTCCCAAACCTTATTTATTTTCATTGCTTTTTGAGTTTGAGGAACAAAAACTAGTCTGACAGGGTGTGGGGTGAAGAGGGTCCCCCACAAATCATCACAGGTCCGGTGGGCGCAATTGTACAGCGATAATAAGTAAAGATTACAGTGAAGTCATCGAGAGTATGAGAGGTAGAGGAGAGATTGGAATAATGGAGTCAGACACAATTCATGGTAGCATGCTCACTTTGGCCCCGCTTGGTGGTCCTCATGGGGGGAGCCCGGCCACAAAAGCAAGAGAGCCCTCGGGAGCGAGAGCAGAAGAGCATCTTCTTTATTGCTAACCAAGGGTTATATCTCATTAGGGGGACATCATTACAGGTACCCACACGTCACAGGAAGGGGCAGTACAATAGGCATACACATTGGAGGAAGGGGATCTATGGTAGGCATAAGCGTGACAGGAAGGGGATGAGCTAGGGGTGTGCCCATAGGAATAGGAAGGTCTAGGGGTATATATGTGACAAGATGGGCGGACCCTAGTTTCATGATGGTGGCCTAACCTTGGTCATCCTTGGGCGGGTTTGACCTCTCTGGTGTCTCCTACAAGGAAACAGACAACTATTATCCTTATCAGAAGGGAGTGGGCCCTACTTGTTGTGGGATAAACAGTGGTGTCTGCTCGGTCTAGATGGCAGATAGCTCTTAGGGAGAATGACCTCTGATCGACTCCTGATGACCTCCAAGTGCACAGTCATTCTCAAGCAGCTAAGTCTGGCCTATATTTGGGGGAGACAGCATGAGAGAAATCCTTCTGTTTCCCATAACAGGGCAAGATCAGGGCTGTGGGGTGGATGGGGTAAGGTGTCCTAACGACATTGTTGTAGGGCAGCCCTTGCTACCCTTGAAGAATGATCCAGGTGCATTGTCATCGTGATTGGGC